GCTCTTCCACACCGCCCAGCCCAGCGAGACACGTACGTGTGCCCAGCCCCCTCCCTCCCTGCCCACTCCACACAGCTTTTGCCCTCATCTTGACTAACAGGCTGTAATTCCCATGCAGTTTTACTGGTGCCAATAGAAGAAACGATTCCCATAACAGGATCAGGCTTTGGCTTCCCCGCTGTCATGGTGGTGGGGAGTGTGAAGATCTCCTGGCATCCCAGCCCTCAAACAGAGGCTTGAGCTGAGGCTGCCCTCACACAGTATAAAGTGTTGCTGTCCCTTCCCCACCTGACAGGCCCCTGTGCATTCCCTTTCTCATGTTCCCTGAGCCCTGTCGTCCCCGTCATCAGCTGCCGAGATGCGCTCCAGCACGCGGGGCGCAACACATGCAGGGTGGACACCCGCGGCGTCCCCACAAGGCCACCCTCTCTGGATGCCCTCGGGCACTTTGCCTTTTACAGGCACAAAAACTCAGCCAGGAGGTTCTGCATTTTTCGGAGGATTATGCACCACGGCAGTTTAAAAATGTTGAAGATCATCTTTCCATTTCTGTCACGAATTGATGCTCCAGATATTTAGGTGAAAGAGTCAGCGCCTCATCCCTGCTCAGGGAGCAGCAGAAATGTCTCTGCTCAGCCTGTTGCTTCATGTTACAGCGTAAGCCCATCGCTTGCCTCAGGCTGCTCCTGGAGCTGACCAGTGCCACAGGGACCTGTCCTGGTTTGCTGAAAAAGCAGGAGTTACCTGGAGAGCAGAGCAAGGGCTCAGGGCTCAGCTGGCTTTGCTCAGGCAGGTGGGCGAGCGCGGGGAGCAGGGGAAGGCTGGAGTTAACCTCTCTCCCCAGCGCTTCAAACCGCAGGGTTTTTTAAAACCACGGAGCGGTTGCTGTGAACTTTGCTGATCCTCAAACATGTGGGCTTGTCTGCCTCTGATTGAGTTACTGTTAATTGTCAGGCACTCTCCTTTCGGAAGGAGTCGTAGCCATACATGTGGGCTTAGGGAAGCAGAGGTAGCACCGAAGCGTGCTCTGGAAATAGGCTGTCACACGACTCTCAGTGGGGCCTCAAATATCAAAAGCTGCTTTTGAAAAATTTCAGCCTAAGTCATTTATTTGCTGCTAACTAAGCAGTTGCCTGTTAGACTCTCGAGTCGCCCCGGCTGCCGGAGCCCTCACGTACCATCCTCACCTTGCCTGGCAGAGAAACTTGAGTTCATTTCTTTCTTTCTGCATTTATTCATTCCCAGGCCAAGGAATGATTTCTCTATTTTCCTCCTGACAGTCTGAAAGCTTCTATGCCTATAGGAAGGCACCACCATTTTATTCAGTGTTTGCTGTCCCTGCCACAAGTGTCAGTAGAGGAACAATGTGAGGTTTCCTTTCCTGCAGGTCTGGAGATGGGCCAGGGCTCTAGGTCAGGCTGAAGCTTGAGGGCTGTGACCAGCAGTTTGCAGTGGCTCCCCAGCCTCCTGCCTGACCGAGGAGGAACACGCTTTGGCTGATGGGCTGTTCTGCTCTGGTAGCTGTAACACCAGATTAAATCTCCCAGCAAAGAGTCCTTCACATGAGCTTTTAAAAACGTGAAGCAAAATATAATATCAGCTTTTTAGAAGGAGGAAATAAAGCAAGAGTTTCAGATTCTGCCATTCAACTCCCTTCCTCTTTGGATGAAAGACTTCCAGCTTCTTGGCTGATAGGGGCTTTAATTCAATATTGGCTGGTAGCTAGCTCTGAGATTAGGCAGGCAATTGACACTGATTTGTTAGGCTTACAGAGTTTATTTTTGGACTTCAGCCTCGGGCAGAAAATGTTTGGAAATAATAAGATGTAGTGTTAGACCAGAGTCCATCGGCTCAGGTCCGTGCTCCTCACAGCCTCCAGTATGGCCATCCGGTCTGGTGGGTCCAGCATGGACAGTCCTGTGCTTGCCCACCTTCATACACTGCAGAGGTGGCTGTTTATGTACTGGCTGATGTAAAAATAGAGGAGTTATCTGGCCTTTTGGGGTTTCTAGGTTCATAGGCAGCTTCATTTCTCTCTTACTTCAGGCTCCCACATCTGCCTGCCAATATTTGTGGAGGTCAGTGCTCTGCTGTTCTTTGCTTTTGCCTCTTATCTTCTGTATGGATAATATTTTTCATCTTGAAGTTCTTATGCCTTCTGAGTCCAGGTGGGCTTTCATGAGCTCACAGCTTCATATCAGAGAACCTGCCTCTCTGGGGAAACCACTTTCCTTTATGAGCTTTTCTGGCTTGGTTTAGGGAAAGCATGGTGTGCTGTTTGAGCCACTGCATGGCTCAGAGATTATGAGTTGGTTGTATTTTCCTTTTGGCACATCAGATGGATCAGCTGGAAACCATGATTGGGCAAAAAAATCCAGCTGGGCATATTGGAGGAACAAAGCCGGGGACAGAGAGGTGTATGTGCTGCCTGTTCCCATGTGGCTTGTTGGAGACCAAGGTTAATGAAATGCCATTTCAGGAACATGTTGACATGTATTGACATAGTTATCACGTCCTTGGCTGGTCTCTGGAAGATGAGCTTAAACCTGAGCTTGGCCAAGCTTTTTTACAGACATGTGGGTGGTTTCTTTCTGCTGTATGTTCAGGGTTAATTTTTCATATATCCCAGGAGTTCCTCTTGCTCTATTTTATGTCTTTAAATGTGTACAGGGTATGGATGAGCATTACTCATTCTCCTTTTAATGCAAGCAGAAATGTACAATTTAAAGGGATTGAGAATAAGGGTTTCCCTGTTCCTATGTGCTTTTTAGTAGTAATTTGATTATATTAATGTGCACTGGAAAGATATTTTTTGAAAGATTTATCATTAAAGTAGCACTTGTTAGGTTTTCCAGCAGGTGCCTGTCTTTCAGGAAAGCATCATCCCGGAAGCAGCAGCTCCCTGCACTAGGGCTGCCTTCCATGCCATCCAGGATGGTAATTGCTTCTCACAATTACAGTTACTGCTGATACAGAAAAGGCATCTTATGCAAATTAATTAATGTGATTTTAGGCAATTTGGTGCAGAGCTGAGGAGTGAGCCCAAGCTGCAGATGTCAGTTTTGGATGCATAATATTTTCACTCCTCAGTGATGAAGTTACACAAATAAGGGGCAAATCTCTATAGAGGATGTGGTCAAACTCTAAGAAGCCTCTAGGCTGGCAGCAGAGCAGTGCCAGCCTTTCCCTAGCCCTGCAGCAGGAGCAGGCATGGGGCTGTTTTGTACCAGATGTGATCCAAGTTTGTGAGCCAGAGCTGCTCTGTATTTCAGAAGAGTGGGGCTGAAATGGAGGAGAGACCCAACTCCTTTCTCATTATAGACCTGTGCAGGAAAGATCAATAGTGGTTGACGTCAGGTCCCAGACTGAAGCACTTTTTGCTGAGATAAACTTTATCTGAGTGATCTGTCACTTTCTTGTTCTAAAATGTTATCCTGCCCTGTCACACAAGTGACACAATCACTTGCCCTTGGCAAGTGATTTCGGTCCCAGAGAAATCCATTCCTGTATGTAGTTTGCATTTTCTTTTCTGTTTTTTTGGGTTATTTTTCATGTTGTGCAGTCCCTTGGATGTCTTTGGGAATATAAAGTATTAATGACTTGAGAAAAACAAGTATTTTCTTACTAAAAATTGTATTAATTTAGAATGGAGCTGCATCTTAAAAAAACCAACAAAAATATCAGTACCTATTATCACTCATGGTTTAATGTATAATATCTGGAAAACATTGCTGTAAACTAACTCCCTGCCTTCTGGGGTCTGGGGAAATGCTGCCCAAAGAGGGGCAGAGGGGGTTTCTGGGCACACTGGATGTTTCTCTTCTGAGCTGTGCAATAGCAGCTGTGCCATGGCTGATGATTCTTGGGTTTTGATGTTTTTTAGAGGAGAACAGGAACAGCATTATCAACTCCAGCCTGGAATCCGTCATCTCTTCAAATGCAAACAGCTTCCTCAACTCCAACAGTGCTCCCCAGCCCAGCCTGAACTCAAGTGATCTTGAACTAGAAGTAATTAAACCCAACAGGCCAAATTCACTGTAAGTACAGTGGTAATTAGTGTTTCATAGGCTCTCTGTCCTTAATCTTTAATCCAGACTGTTTCTTACTCTGAATCCCAGCAGTTTGTTGAAGAACACAACATTTTATTTTTTAATGGGTGTTTAACGTGTGCCCTGCATTTTTAACTTGGTCTAAGTGGTGGAATTAGTTGCTGTGGGTTCTATCTGCCAGGGAGCTTCAGCTTCTTATTCTGCACATGTGGAACAGTTTTTGAGCAGAACTCCACACTGCTGCTTGAACTGCTTGACCCATCTGGTGGCAACTCCAGCAAACACAAAGGACTTTTCTTCTGAGTTAAATCCTAGGACTGTTGTCAGTACAGTTGATCTCGGGCCAAATCTGTGCCATTGCTTCTGCTATTGCTTCCTTCATCTGGAAAGTTCAAGGGAAAAAATAGCGACCTTAGCAATGACTCCCTGGGGATGGCCAAGTTATTTATGAAGTCCCCTGAACTTGACACAGCGGAGCCCTCGCGCCGATGGCCGTCTCTGCCGGGGGAATTTCCTTCCTGCTGTGGCTCTGCAGGGCCTGATAGCATTTTCCCACAGAACCTCCCCTCCTCCTACATGTGAAGATCTGCTCAGATCTTCAAGAGCCATTGCAGCCCTTGCAAGCTGCAGCCAATTTCCCCCCTAGCTCTCCTGGGCAGGCCCTGGCGCGTCCCTGGGCTCGGCCCCAGCAACGCTGCTCCTGACGCTGCAGTTTGTGGCCTCGCCATAAACAGCGACCTTTGCAGTAGAGGACACCTTCCTTCCTGCCCCTCCAGTCCTCACACAGCCTCCAAACACTTCCAGTTCCCATTCAACTGTAGAACCCCCAGTCCCTGGAGAGCAAGTGGTGACATTTTTTCTGTAATCACCGAATTTTAGCTGCTTTCTTCTGGTTATCAATGGAAGGCTTGCTAGGGGTGCGGAATGGATGAGTGCCAGGGCAGAGATGGAGAAGCTGGTTGCTGTTGGCTTGGTTGGCAGCAGGGGCTGGGGTTGGGGGTTCTGGGGTGCAGCCCTCAGTGCCTCCAGCAGTTGGCCTGGGCAGGAAGGTAAGTACAGAGTGGGCAGCTGCTGCTGCTGCGCGTGTGACCCAGCCTGTGAGCAGAGGAAGGCTCTGGCCTTCATCCATCCACCCTGCCTCTCTCCTCACCGTTACTGCCACCAAGACCATGAGCTTTGTGAGTACCAAACCAGCCCAGCCTCACCTTCTCCCTGGGATTTACTTGCTGTGAGGAGCCTTGTGGTGGCAGGATAGAGCACCCAAAGGTAGGACCCCTCTCAATTAAGGTTGCTTGTTACTGGTGACAAGTATTGAGTAAAGATGCGTCGGCATCTCGTGCCTGTACTGTTGGTTGAAGCTCTGGAGGTCAGTTGCATACCATCCCCCAGCAGGATGGTTTTAGTTTATTTATCCTCCAAGGGGAAAAAAATTATGTGACTTATAACACAGCAAGGTTTGTGAGCCTGTCTTGCTGAGGCCGTACAGGAATTTTTTGCCAAATTCACAGTTTTTCAGATTATAAGAGTTGCCTCTTCCTAGTAATTTATTTTTGAAAGGAAATAATAAAGAAGTTCAGCAGAAAAAAATCAGTAAAAGCTATGTGGGGCCTTGGGGAACAGAGGCATCTTGTTGTTACCAGGGAATTAAGTGAGCAGTGAAACCATTCACCTGCCACTAGTGAAGGGGCCTTTGCAATTCTGCAAAGTGAAACGGTGCTTAGCAGGGTGGCACTGGCAGCTCCTGTGGCTCTAACAGTGTTTGTGGCATGTGGTGCTTTTCCTCCAGTCCAGTGATTAGTTGATCATTCTTACGTGTTTCAGTCCATGTTGAGCTAAAGGCTGAAAGGTGAGTCTTAATGTGAATAATACCATAAGGCAAATACCATTTTCTTCTCCAAAAATCCAAATAGTTAGATCAAATAGCTTTAATCCAATCTTTCTATGAGAAATGAAGCATCTGACTTAATTTCATTCTTTTTAAATGGTGTGTGTATGTGTCATGTCAGCCCTTCTGTGCCAGCTTATCCCCGAGCACGTGTCCGTGCCCGTGGGTTTGGCAGGTCCGCAGGGTTTTGCCCTCATTGCTCAGCACTCTGTGGGTTTGCAGCAGTGAGGATGAGGAGGGTGGGGAGGGCTGCCAGCAGGGTCTGTCCCCCAGCCCTGCCCCATGGCTGTACTCTGGGTCTAGGCAGCGTGTCTGTGTGCCAGGATCCTGGCGGCTTTGTCATCGCTGTGGGAATGCCCAAATAATATCTGTAAAAAGCTGCTCCTGTTTATTTAATTAGCTGACTAATTGGGGTGTTGCGGGCAGCCTCAGGCAGCTGTGCACTTTGCAGTGGGTCTGGAGGATCTGGTACTGCCCTGCAAGGGGTGCTGGTGCTCCCCTGCTACTACCAGACCCACAGCTGGGGTGTGCGGCAGCGGGGAAGGTCTCATGGGACCCTCTGCGCTCCTTCAGAACCCTGCCCGCTTCTCTGTCCGTCCTGTGAGACCCATCTTTGGGCTCTGTTTCAGGATTTTTAGGTTTTTCTTGCATTTTTCACCATTTTCTGTAGTTTTTCAATGCTGGGCCATCCTGTTTGAGGGCCTGTTCTGGAGGGGTTGAGTTTCCTGGCAGCTTGTCCTCGAGCTGGCAGAGCTGGGAGCCAAAACTCTAACCCTGCGGCTGAGGAGCTGTAAAATTCCAGGTGTGCAGAGGTCAGGAAGTCCTGCTTTCCTTCTCCAAAGGAAAAGGGTTTTCTTTCTGAACAAGAAATTCTGTAAGAGAACAAGTACAAAGGAATCCTGGATTCTTGTTTCCTTCCCTTTGAGAAAAGGATCTCTGCTTCCCCAGTGGGACAGCAGCAAAGGTTAGTACATTAAAAACTACTCCACAGCAAAATTTGACCTAGCCCTTGTTTTCTGCTAAATGCCCTGCTGAAAAAAATGAGCTGGTGGATATTTCTGTGCAGGGAAATGTCTTCTTAATTAGGACCTTTTCCTGCTTTGTGCAGCGGTTTGGTGCCTTCAGGGGTTGGTTTGTCTCTTGCCCTTTGGGTATGGTGACCCCAGTGTCCTGTCCAGCCTCACTGTCTCACTGGTCTTTCCAGCCCAGCCAGCTCAGGGACAGTGGTGTGCCCAAGGCCATCCAACCTTCATAAACCATCACCAGTTGCTTCCTCCCCACAGGCTGCAGCTGGATTCAGTGCTTGCACCTTCATCCTTGAAGCCTTGGTAGAACCCAAGTGTGGTGTCCCTACATGTGATGTTTCATGTTGGGCATGGTGGCTTCTGCATGGACAGGAAAGGTGGCAGGGCCAGCCAACCCCTGCAAAAGCACTTTAGGAAACTGCAGGGGAAAAAAACTGGATCATTTTGATGTTCTTTCTTCTTAATAAGCTGAAAACTGATGTTCTCATGAAAGTAACTCCTGTTGATCTCAGTGGGAGACCTGTTTGAGTACAAACATAAAAGACTGCAAGTCTGGGGGATTTCTTGTTTTCCTTTTGCTGCAGTGAGCACTGATGCATTCAAAGGTTGCCTTTAAATGTGCAATGCTAGAAATTGTCAGCACTGTCTGTGAAATTAGAGATGCTTCTTGGAGCTTTTGTTTACAAAAGCCTCTTGGCTCCCCTCTGAATGCTCGTGTATCCCCCAGGTCTGATCCACAGGAAGTTGAGTGGGTTCCCAAATCCCTCTTGTGAGTGTGCGAAGGTCTCCCCACCTTGGTACCCTTACCCCTGTGCCCTCCTCCAAGGGAACAGAGTCCTCCTCAGACTTCCCTTCTCTCCTGCATGGTCCTTCCTCACCAACCTGGAGGGAAATTGTTTTGCTGCAGGGCAAAGGCTCTTCCTTCCCAGCCACCCATCAGAGTTTTACTGTGGGGATGAATTTATTTGTTAGGACTGGTTTTATTTTTATGGAAAAACTGCTCAGGGCAGGAGTTGTACTGGGTGAGTCAGTGGCACTGTTGTCCCATGCCAGGAGCTGTCACTGTGGCTGAGGGACTGGGGCTGGCTGCCCAGGGCCACCAAAGTCCCAGGGAGGGGGGTTTGTTTCTAAATAAGTGTTGAGTTTCATTATCCTGCCCTTGCAGAAAACCTCCTCCTTAGAACACACGGCAAAATGAGAAGCAGAAGTGCTGTGTTTCTGGCATAGATATGTCCTTCAGCTGGAGTGGGGGAAGTTTTCAAACTAAAGTGTGTGATTAAGGAAAGCAGATTTAAGATTGAGGTTTTTAAACCCTTTAAACAAAGCACCTTGCTGTGGTGGCTCAGCAGCACACACCTCCAGTAGGGGGTTTATCACTGTGGATACCAACACCTTGGGTGTTTGCTTTGTATTGTTTGTTCTCTGCTTTATTTAGTTATTAGTCTCATTGGTGTCCCCTCTATAGTTCACAGGCCTGTGCTGGGTGTTTGAGCAGCCACTCTGACCAGATAGACATGGCTGAGGCCAGATCAGAGGTGGGTGCTGCAAACACAGGCAGAACCCAGTCATGCAGCCTCATCAGACCCACCTTTTAGTGCTTAAAATAAGTGTATCTCAGTCTTAAACTGGCTGTTGGGTATAATACTGGGTGCTTCTGGCTGGCATCCTGCCTGTGACTTGCTGCAGGCTTGTGCAGTCGTTTGCAAAGCTGAACAATGGATGTGTTACAGTTTGGAAGAGTTGGGTGAGGGTTCCAGTTTTTCCCCTCTCACAGTAATGTTTGGTGTTGTGTGGGGCTGTTTGGAAGGTGAGGTGGGGCCAGATGGTGTTCAGCCAGGTCACAGGCTGGGCAGTGTTTTTGCACTGTGGCCCCACAGCATGGCCAGCCCGTGGTCCCATGAGGGGAGCACCCAGGGGTTCTGCCCTCCCTGTCTTGAACGGGAGGTGAGCATCAGAAGTGCACAGGAAGGGCTGGGGTGGGTAGCAGAGCACCCCAGATTCACAGCTAGCCCAAAGGATGCTTGCCTGGGACCCATGGGCTCCCCTCCATCAGGCAAACACCAGGACATCCTGCCCCA